CTTATTCCCACACGAGGCCTTTTCTTACTCAGTTTGGTTTAAGGAGCTCTAGTAATTAAATGAGTTTGCTGCTTTTTGTCTTTTATATCAGTGATGAAAACCTTGAGCCTGACAAGATTTAAGTGACTGAGCTAACTGCAATGTAATGTTTTATTTCTCCTTTCTTTATTTAATATTTTGCCGTGGGAATGGAGTGGGGAATGATTTTAGTGGGGCTTTGTGTTCAGGTCATCCTGAGTGTGTCTGCAGCTAAAGGCAAGCACTTGTCTTCTCAGCCTGGTGTTGTGTGGGCTGTTGGAGAGTGTATGTGAATATTAACAAGCTATTTCAGTTTCCTTTAAACTGCAGATTTATGTTCCATTTATGTGAGTGATTCCTAATCTCTTTTGTCTTTGCATCAGGAGAGAGTCATCTTTTTCTGTTTGAAGGAGTGCGTGTGTTGGTGAGGAACCATGTGCCTTTGCGAAGTGTGTGTGACTGACTTGGGTTTCTTTCTCTTCATTAGCCATTCCCTCCTCATCCCACTGTCAGCTCCCAGTGTTCCTCTGAAACCCTTCTTGCCAAGGTCACTGGGACCTGTGAGTTGTAAATTTCTCTGTCTTTACCTTACCTGACCTCTGTGTAGTCTTTTGTTGGTATTTTCTCCTTTGTCTTCTATAATTTGCCTTCCCGATTTCCCCCTTCCTCCCTAGCTGCTTCCTAACTGTCTTTTCAGTGCTGCTATTTAAGGAGTGCTGGCTCTGGACCTTGCTTGCTTTTCTTGCTCTGCATTATTATCCCCGAGTGATCTCATCCTCTCAAATATTTATCATTTAAAAATTTTCCATTATCAGTCTTACTCCTGAGCTCCAGACTTGCATATTGAAGTACCTAAGGACATAACACCTTAAACTGAACATAGCCAGATTGACACCCAACATCTCTTTGTGCAAATTCTTCCATCACTTTATTCTCTCTCTTCTTTGGGGAATAACCATCTACTTCAGAGCTGCTCAAGCCAGACACCCAGACAGAAGGATCCTGAACTCTCTGCTCTCTTTAATATGGTACTGTTACCTCAATCAATTCCATCCAGTTTCCAATTTGATCCTTGTAGTAATTCTCTGAGGCTCCTAGAAGAACTATTAATGAGTACTTTGGTTTTATAAACGGGCACACTTGGAGAAGTTGACAGATTTTTTCACAATTAGAGGGTTAGGAATTATCAGTGCTGGGAAAGAATGTGAATCTTCTGTTTCTTATGGGTTGCTTATATAAGAAGGAAAAACAAACAAAAAAGCTCAAATGAATTAAAAGACAAAGAAAAGCTAATGTCTTTCTGGTAGTAAAACTCCAGAGGAATCAGCTTTCATCATACTTTTTGACATGCCACTTTTCTTTTTCACTGTCCTTTTGTATTTTCTCTTTACTGCAGGGGAGGTTCTGGGCCCTCATTGTCTTCTCTCAGAGCCACAGCTGATGGTTTGTTAAAAAAGAGGTCTATTGAGATATAATTCACACGCTAGCAGTTCACCCATGGACAGTGTACAATTCTGTGGTTTTTGTGTATTCACGGGGTTGTGCAACCATCACCGCTGTGTGGTTCTGGAACAGTTTTGTCCCGACAAACAAATCCCATATTCTTTAGTACTCAATTCCTACCTACCTAAATAAACTCTGATAGATTGTCTGTCTCTATAATGTGCCTATTCTGGATATTTCTTATAAATAGAATCATACAATGTGTAGTCTCTGACATTTTTGCCTTGCATAATGTTTTGAAGGTCCAAGCATGTTGTAGCAGGTTTTGGCACTTCACTCCCTTTCACAACCAAATGCTCTATTCTATGAGTGTGCCACGTCTTGTTTGTCCACTTACCAGTTAACAGACATGTGAATTATTTCTACTTTTATGGCTTTACTATTCTACTGCTGTAAATAATTCTTCTGTGAGCATTTGTGTGTAAGCTGTGTGCATGTATTTTTCATTTCTCTGGGTGTATGCCTAGAAATGGAATTTCTATATGGTTAGAAGTATGGGTCCATAGGCTTAGTCTAAGTTTAATGTTTGAGGAACTGCCAAGCAGTTTTCCAAAGCAGCTATACCATTTTACCTTCCCACCAGTCCTGTATGGAGAGTTCCAGTTTCTCTGCATTCTTACCAACACTTTTTATTGTCTGTCTTTTTGATTATAGCCATCCCGGTGGGTTGAAATGGTATCTCTTGGTTTTCGTTTGCATTTTTCTGATGGCTAATGATGTTGAGCATTTTTTGTTTTTTTATTTGTCATTCCTATATCTTTTTGGAAAAATATGTATTCAAATCCCTTGTCTATTTAAAAATTCAAATAAAAGTTGTCTTTTTATTATGAGTTATAAAAGTCTTTTAGATATCTAGATATAAATGTTACATAAGATAAATGATTTGCAAATATTTGCCCCCATTTTGTGAGCTGTCTTTTCACTTTCTGAATGGTATCATTAGTAGCACAAAAGGTCATAATTTTAATGTTGGAACTCTAGGATTTATTAGCTTGCATGATCGTGCTGTGGTAAGGCAAAGGAGAGCTTCCTTCTCTTTCACATGGGTGGATGTTTCAGAGTAGGCGGAGCTGCAAGTAGCATCTGTCCACTTCGGGCCTGTCTCTTCTCCATTCTTTTCTTGTCCGTGTACCTTGTCTTATGGCTATGGTGGTCATACTGCAGCAGGGCTGTCTGGGCGTTTATCCTGCAGGAGTGGCAGAAGCTGTCAGTGTGACACACTCTGTCAAGGAGTTGCTATTTCCGGGATGTTACTAGATACCCTGGTTCTCATTTTACACCTGATTCTCCACTAGATCTCTTCTAATGGATAACTGCCCCAGGGTGCTGAGTTGTTCTTGTTCTTGACTAGCAGTCAAGGGATGTAGCAGTGGAGTTTATGGCCCTGGAGAAAACTAGACAACAGCTCCCCTCCATTCACAGGAACACTTTTCTTCCAGTGTTTTCAGCTTCATGGCCATTTTGCAGGCCTGTACCTAGAACTTCGTGCCATTGGGAAGTTGGACACCAGTGTGCCTCAGGCGCCTGAACGTCATGAATCAATATGATTTCAAAAAAAGTTAGGGTATAGCATTAGGTTATAAGTTTTAATTTGTCAAGTAGGGACATTCAGCAACATAACTGCTCGCATGAAAGAAAATAACTGAGATTTTCCTATCAAGAAAATACCACAGGTATCAAATTCAATTTACCTTTGTGAAAGTCAATACTGCATATGGTCCTATTTTTCTTATTTTGCCATGTACCACTGAAAAATACATTATGGTCTGTGGATTGATATTTAGGAACCACAGGCTTTACATACTCAGCATAAATCTTTATGTGAAAAGAACTTAATCAGGTATTTACTCTGTATGGTGCCAGACTTTATACTGTTTCCCTGTACTGGATTAACTATTTTGCCAATAACTATATTCCTATACTTTGTATCTTCTGCCAGTATTTGAGTAGTTCCCCAATCACAGATGAGAAAGAATTGTTTTAGGTATTTATGAGTATAAATTGACCTTTAAAAGATTAAAAACATCATTCAAAAGATTAAATGGCTCCTATTTACAAATACAATGTGTAAATGTGTAATTTCTGCATTATGTATATTCTAGACTGAGAGTACTGCATAAAGTTTTATTGATTCTGTCTCTAAATTAAAATGTCAAATAGATATTAGGGTTTTATCATAAGATAGTTATTGGCTGTCACATTGGCACATTAATTATAGTAAGTGGGTAGTAAAGAAGCCATAGGAATAGATAATATGTTATACATCTTGATGAGATGATAATTTCCTTCTCTTATTTATAGTAATAAAATTTTGTTAATTGACACTGCTGGCAAGCTCTTTTGCTTTCCTTTTCTACTTTCCAGGTAGATTTATAAGTCTACTTAGGAACTCTGAACTGAGGGCCACACAATATAAAGGTCACATTCCAAAATGCCTGTACTTGCCCATAGTATGCACATTAAATTTATTCAGCAAACATTTGGTTAATTGCTTTTTAATTACTCCTAAGTACACAAAGATGTATGAAACAGTGCTTGTACTGAAAGACTAATAATGGAGAAGGAGGTAAAGTGGCTAAATGTATGACCCACATTAATTGTGTCACATATGTGAGCCACATGTGATAAGCTCCTTAAAAGTGGGATAACATACTGTACAAGTTCAGAGGAGGAAAGGATGACTCCAAGCCTGGGTGATCAGTGAAGCTGTAAGGCTCAGTGGTAAAGGAATTACTTTGCATCTGTGAAATAAAGCACCTAGCTGTCTCTGAATATGTATCTACACTCAGTAACTATAGTGAGAGGTAGGTGGCTAAATGCACTGACATGGAAATCAACTTTTGTTCTAGGCCCAGCTGCTTTGCAACCTCATTTTGTGTCCTTGAGTATATAAAATTGGTGTAATAATATGTGTCCAGCATCTCTCACTATGAAAAATGAGATAATGCGGATGCCTAAGTTGCTCCCTGTGGTGAAAGTCAGATTGCTTGGCAGGTGTGTATTTTTTTTTCAGGCAACTTAGGCCATACAGTTGAATGGAAGTAAGCACAGCTTTCTGTGACTAAAAGGATGAGTATTCTTACCAAAGTGCCCAATTTATTGTTAGGCAATAGCATATTCTTTATAACATCTGAACTGTTGTCTGGAAAATTGCCCGAATTCCTTGGAGAATCTGCATGAACACAGAGTAGTAAGTAGGATAGGGAGCACACTTACTGAGCTGCTTCTGCTGGTTTAAGGACTTTATAACTGGTTACCCTTACATCATTTTCATTATATGGCAGTGGAAACTGAGGCTTAGATAAGTTTTCAGAAGCTGCTTACTTAGATCATACAACTGTTTGAAATAAGATATGTTGGAGTCCAATGCGACATTACATAGGAGCGTGCCACTGTACTTCAGTTTGATGTTTTTCTTGCAGGCCAGGGTAAGCCATCTGTGGACACGGTTATATACATGCTACTTGTTTTTTCACTAGGTTGCTCCTAGAACTGCTGGAGTTGCTATTTGACAAGTTTAACGCTGTAGCCACTGCTCACTCTGTGGTCCTGGGATACCTGCAGGACACTGTTGTGACTCCACTGACTCAGCAGGAAGACGTCAAATTGTATGACATGGCAGATGTGTGGGTGAAGATCCAAGATGTTCTGCAGGTAAGGCACTTGTGCAAAGGATGCCATCTGGATTCAGTTAGAACACCTAAAAATCAGCCACTTAAGATATTCCCTTAGTCATAAACATAGTTGAAAAGTAATGTTGCTGTTTAAAGATAATGCTGCTCATGTCATGAATTATTTCATCCTCAAAAGACCAATTCACTTTTTTTTTTTTGCCAGCCTTTAAAATTAGGAAGAGATTCTCAATGTGTAGCAGTCAAATCAAAGATAGGCAGTGTCTGGCTTTCTATTATAATGTACTTTGCTAGACTGAGTCATACATTAAGGTAATCAATATTAAATGCTCTTAAACACTATTTTATAAACATATATGTAGCCTCATTTATGGCCATTATCCTATAGTCAACTCTTGCATATATTGGGGTAAGTGGCAGGTCAAGAGTTTATTTTGTGAGATGAAAATAAAATCTGTAAAGTCTAAATGTATTACTTTGATTTGTTGAAGATCAGATAAATGATATTACTGTTTGGTATAATGCTGTAAAGATGGTATTTAGAAATTACATTTTCTTTCCATATGCCAGGAAAATATATTTGATTTGGTTACATAAAAATTAGAAATAAGATTTAGAGTTGGCTGATGTAAATTTGACATAGTAAATAGAAATGACTTGGTTAGATGGTACCTACTAAAGGAAAAAAAGTAAGCATTTGTTTAGAATTGGAAAAATATAACTGTGTAGGAATGAAATTACTTGCCTGGCAAATAGGAGTCTTTGCACGAAAAAAATAAATCGTGAATGCAAATTGTAGTCATCTTCAAGAGTATAGATATGCTCCTGGTGGACTGAATGAATGATTCTTGGTTATTCATTCATTAGACTTTTTTTTCAGTACAGTATATATGCTTTATTGATGCTTTTGTAGAAAGAATATAGGTTGCAACTAATTCCCCGAGTTTGTTTTGCTGTTCTGGCAATTACCATTTGCTGTAGTAGGCACTTGATGAATGGTTTGCTTGGAAACTGGTTTTTAATACTTTATATTGGTTTGCTAATCTGTCATGGAAATAAAATGTGCTCTTCAGGTCACATTTTTATTTTAGAGGTGGAATAAGATAATAGATTTTAAAGCTACTTCAGAAATAGTTAGAAATATGGAGTTCTAGTTCTGGCCATGATGAAGTTACCTCCTACTGTAAGCAACTCTAAGGCTGGAGAAGAGACCATAGGAGGTGAGTTCCACATTCATCCCAGTTTCCTTACAGGGGATGCTTTCCAAACCATGGCATAGAAAGTGAAGCCTAAGCAGACAGCAGCAAACTTTCAAAGCAGAGCACACAGAGATCAGAGTTCAGGGTTGTGGAGGCAGCTGAAATTTGTGGGTTAGCATACTGGAGAAGAGGGAATTGCACAGAGAAGGAGCCGCATAAATCCGAAGAGTGCCATTGAGCCTTTGATCAAATGCGAAGCTGCTCACACTGCATGGCTTGGCAGAAAACCAGAAAACAGCTACGCTGGGACTGTGAGCTACATGGAAGTTCTAGAAGTTGCCAAGTGCTTGGAAGTGTTGGAGTTCAGACTAGCCAGTGTGGTGAGAACTTGCTGAATATCCTGTACTTTCAGATGTGACCTCTGAAAGGTACATTTTAGAAATACAGCTCTGTTCTAGTCCTAGAGTAAGGACTATTTTAGATCTTGCATTCCAAAGCCCAAAATCAAGTCTTTGTGGTATCAGCCTGATGTACCTATAAATTAACTGACTGCTAGAACAAAACTCACTTTTAAGAAAGACAATATAGTCTATATTCTCAATAATGTAACATCCACAATGTCCAGCATACATTATGTTTGCAAAAAAGCAGAAAAATGTGACTCATAACCAGGATTTTAAAAGTTGATAAAAATTAGTATCTGAAATGAAAAATTCACCAGATGGATATAGCAGCAGATTGCATGCAGGAGAAGAGAGGATCAGAGACCTTCAGGATGAACAAACTGAAGCACAGAGAGAAAACAGGCTGAAAGGAAAAAATGAATAAAGCTATAATGTCCCTGGGACAATATTGTACAGTCTAACATTTGTGTAGGACACAAAGGAGAGGGTAGAGAGATTGGGGCAGGAAATTATCAGAAGAGCAATGATAAAAAATTTCCAAATTTGTTGAAAAACATAAACCATAGATCCAAGAAGCCAAGCAAGATTAACACAAAGAAAAGCAAATTCTAGACACATCATTATCAGGTTGCTGAAAACCAAGAAAAAAACTTTAAAGATAGCCAGTGGAACAAGACAACCTTGCCTCCAGTGAACCAGTGATATAAATAACCACCAATTTCTCATCAATGGATGCATCTTGAATGTGCTGGAAAATTAAAAAATTGTCATTCTAGAATTTCATATCCACTCATAATATCCAGTGAACTGAAGATGAAATAGAGATATTTTCAAATTAACTAAAGATGAAAATTTGTCATCACTAGAACTGCACTCAAGAAATGGTATAGAAAGGTTTTTTAAGCTAAGGGAAAAAATACCAGATGGTAATTGGTCTATAAAAAATATACAGGGCCAGAAGTGGTAAATATGTGGGCAAAAAGAACATACATTTTTCTTCTTAATTTATGCTTACAGCAAAACAGTAATGATATTTGTGGGTTTTACAATATATTTAGAAGTAAAATGTATGACAAATTAGACAAAAGATGAGAGCAGTGTAAATGTAACGGTAGTGCTCTAAGTTTATTATACATGAAGAGGTATAATGTTTAAGGTAAACTGATAAGGATGCATATTTTAATCCCAAGGACAAACTAGTTATTTTAAAACTAAAAATTGTAGGATTGTTAAAAAGATATTGCTATATGATACAGGTATAATACTGCTAAAAAGCCAGTAGAAGGGATAGTGAATATTTGATTAATCCAAAAGAAAGCAGTTAAGAGAAAAGAACAAAAAAAAGAAAAGATAAAGAACAGAGCAAAGATAGGATGAATAGAAAACAAATAGCAAGATGTTAGTTAGACTTATATTATACCAATTATATTAATGTTTACATTAAATGTAAGTGGACTAAACACACCAATTGAAAGGCAGAAATTGTCAGGTTGGTAAAAAACAAAAAAAAGCTGACCATGATGTTTATAACATATGCATTTTGTTATTTTATTTCTTATTTTTAAATTTCAAGCTTTTAGAAAGGTTATAAAAAGTAAGTATAGTAAGAGCATCCATATACCTCCTTATTCGAATTCAGCTATTGTTAATGTTCTGCCACTTTATCAGTTGTTTTCTTTATGTGCACATGTATGTGTGTGTGCATGTGTATTATATGTATTCTAGTTTTGTTACTTGACCCAGCAGTGTTCTATATAGCAGGGTTTGTTTGCCTCTCCAGTAGAATCCAGTGTTACATATTGCATTTACTTTTCATATCTCTTCAGTTTTCCTTAAATTTGAACATTTCCAGTCTTTCTTTACCTTTTATAATGGCATTTTGAAGAATATACCCCATCTTTTAAAACAAGTTCTTCATTTGGGGTTAAAAAAAGTACACTTTAAATATAAAGATATGTGTATATTAAAGGTATGTGAATAAACAGAGACATACTGTGAAATACTAATAAAAAATAATTTGTATGCAACCATATCAGATACTATTAGAATATATAATATCAAATGGAATTATTTGTAGTACAGTACTTATGGCATTTAAAACTTGAGTGTATTAAGCTTTAGGAAGTATGTTATGGACTATGTAAACCTATTCTTGCAAGGTTATGGAATACTTCATGAATAGGTTTTTAATGATCTCTGATATTTGGCCAACTTGAACTAATATTCTAAATTCAAAATGACCTTTAAGTCTATTAGGATTATATTTGTAATATTATAATGAAGAATTAATAATGCTAATGAACAAAGTAAGATATGTGTCACTTAGCTCTTCTTTGAATTTGTAAAATGTATATAATCACTGCACTTTTGAAAACAAAACCCATTATCTCATAATAAAAATTTTTATAATAAACTGAGGAACTTCGTTGCATCAGATGTTAACAGCTGAAATGTAAACATGATACAGAAATATTTGTTTCCGGCTTAAGTGACCTATACCTTTCACACATGTGATTTCATATGACTGATTTGGTATCCCATTTTCATATGGAAGGAGTTATTTGTTTATTTGTTTATTTAAATAGTTTTGTTGAGATCTAATTTACATGGCATTAGATTCACCTGTTTATAGATTTCTGTGGTTTTTAATATACTTAATGGAGTTGTACAGTTATCACCATGATGTAATTTTAGAATATTTTCATTACTTTAAAAAGAAACTTGTAGCCATTAGCAGTCACTTCCCATTCCCTGTTTCCTTCACCTCCAAGAGTGTTTGAGACACTGAAAAGATAACATATGTTACCTCTTTCAGTACCTCCTAGTGCCCAAATCATACACTGGGCAATGTTTTTACTATTTCATGTTAATACATACATATATCATTGACATAAGCTGTGGCAGATTAGAATATAAAACTAAAACTGATCTAATACTAGGTGAGCAGTCTAATATAGAAATAACATTTTCTTTTGTGTATCACATTTAGCTGGTTTGAGGTTGAGGTATGACAATGGTCTTTGCTGTTTTCCTCTCCCCCACCACCCAACTACATTTCTCCTCTTTCTTACATTTCTACTTTTCTGTTCCCATCTTTTGTTTTCCTTGATACATTTTGGAAGAATAACCTTAGTCATGACTTGAATTAATCTGTGGTTGATTGTTTCTTAGCTGTCTACTCATCTTTATTAATCCACAGATTTGAGAATGAAGTGTTTTTGATTAAGATGTTCATCTAAATATTTTAAATTGTTGTTATATAATACAAGCTGTCATACAACTTTTAAATTGTTTTTAGTTGCCTATATTTTCTGGTTGGCTCAAACATTCTTTCAGGTTACTCACTAATATTAGGCTCTACACTACTCAATACATTGGACATGTAGTGACAGACACACAAATGGACTAATGTTACTAAA